TCTTCATATGAAGATGCAGAATAGTGACCTTTGTCGGGTTTTAATGGCGTTCAGGTCGGATGAACGCGACCTGGCCGTTCAGACACAGGTCGCATTTGAAAAGATCGGATTCAGGACCACATAGCCAAGTGGCCTGGGTCGCATTGGAAAAATCAGATATGCGTTCTTCAGACAGCCATGATAAAATCAGATCCAGGTCACATATGGGCCAAAAAAATCAGATTTGGGTCACATCAGGCTGCGGTGTGAACGTAGCCTAACAGTCTACCCTTTTGACATAATTTCAGCGTTGCATTCAGTGGTTTATGCAACTTTTTTGTACGACATTGAGTTCTTTTGTTTTATTGAAACAACAGGTTTAGTTCACTACATTATTCCCTTATTTTATAACTTAACCTTAAAACAGGTTTGACGTAGAGACCAGGCATGCCTTTGTAGGGGACCAGTCTGGTCAGGTGACTATCCTGAAGCTGGAGCAGGACAGCTGCAGCCTGGTTACCACCTTTAAAGGACACACAGGTACACTCACACACACTGTATGTCTTTGTATTTGTTGTTGAAAGATAAACATTCATAGTTATTATTGTAATTAAGGAAAAAAAGTAGAGTTCTCTTATTGCAAAGAGTGAGCGTTTTTGTTTTCATCTTAACATTTTCTTGTAAATTGCATATTTAGAAGAAACACCTGCATACATGCAGTCACGCCTTGCATGATAACAATTTCCTCTCAGTCTAATTAAAGAGGTCTACTTCCCCCAATAGATAAAGTGGTTAAATGGAATCTATGAGGGCAAATTTTCATGAGAAATTCTGTTGTTTTCCAATTAAATCAATCCAAAGCAGGTTTGCTGCACATGAAGTTATTTCCTGGTTAGAAATGCTTCCTGCCACAGAGCAGAGAGGGTTTTATTTAACTCATCAGCAGGAAGGACAGCCCACTGATACGTTCAGCACACAGTTCTTATCTCATGCTGATTAAAGCCTGATGGTACAATAAAAAAATGTGACAAAGATAAGCCTCCATTGTAGCTAGTGTGAAAATATACATATTTTTTATCACCCAAGTGTCTGATTGATCATCCAGATTTAGCTCAGGGTCATAACTGATTAATAAAGTTATAGTTAACATTTCCAGGAAGCTTTTAGGGACGACACAGTCTCTGTATTGTTGCAGAAACTGACCCCTGCAGACTGTTTTCAGTCTTAATGCAGCTTCTTCCTCAGAGCATCAGGTGTGTATTTAGGATCCCGCTAAAAAAAGGTTTTCTAGTTATAGTAGAACTACTTAAATGACATCCAACATATTACTCAAGTTGGAAAAAAAAGATATGTAGTAAGAATGTTGTTTAAGTACTGACTGATCATAATGTTGGTTTTATATATAAAGATGATGTAATCTGAAAGATAAAAGCATAAAGTTCGGTACAATTTCTGGTATTTTTCAAACTGAAATACAAAAAAAGATGGCCAAAATTAACCTAATTGTATAAATCCAGACTAATAAGATACTTTTCTAAATCTTTTTTTTCATTTAATATGAAACTTTTTAAACAACACAAACCGCACTTGGTGTGTATATACACTGTATCGCCAAATATTTTGTCTGTCTACTTTTAAATCTACATGAACTTTGAGGCCAATTCGTAGATAAACGCTCAATTTTTTAGCAGTCGGTCAACAAATCAGGTTCTGCTTCAGAACTGCAGCCTCTGGTCTAATTTATCTCCAAGTTATTTTATAATAATGAGGTTACAGACATGCAGACTTTGTTGGAACACCCAAATTAATTGATTTGAAGTGAGCTGATTCTTTAAGCCAGATTATGTATGTTAAAAGAGTGCAAAATACTCCCAGTGACGATACTTGACCTCTATAGGGCTCAATAGACTCAGCAGATAAAAATTAACTAAAAGAACAAAGCTTGTGTGCAAACTAGAAGTCTCACTTCAACAGAAAATGTTGAAATTGGTGCTTTTTTGGCTAAAATGAGCCTATTCTTTACTTACTGATATTACAGTGGAAAGAGTTGCTAGAGGCTTTTATTCAAGTAAAAGTGTTGATGCTTCCTAATAATGTTATTTCTCAATTAAAAGTAAAAAGTGCATTACATTTACCCCTAAAATATCCTTTTTTTGAAAAAGTTACTCAAGTAAATGTAACTAGATACTACCCACCTGATGGTGAGTCTGCATCTGGAAAACGTCATTTTGTTTAGACTCACCAAGGTGTAAAATTCAGCTTGATTAAAAGCAGAACTCACAAATACGCAAGGTGATTTTTTTCACAGGAAAACAGGCAATAAGTGATACAATATAAATCTGAGACGAAAGAAAAAAAATCCAACCACTTAGTAGGATTATGTTGATTTTGTTAGCAAAGAAAGATTTATTAAAAAGATAATAATAAAAAAAATCGTACTTCTACCAAGAATCCAAAGTTTCATTCAATAATATTTCAGTATAAATGATCAATAACCCAAAAACCTTCACAACCAATTTATAAGTAAACTCAAAATCTCTATTTATATCTGCAAAAAATAAACAAAAATAATCCTAATAACTGAAAGTCCAAAGCTGTCCATTCTTTTAATTTTTAATAATAATGTCCAAACAGGAGTTCCATATGCTCCAAACCCAAAGTAAAATCCTGGAAGCGTTTAAGTCCAAAGTCCTTTCCAAAAACGAAAAATCCGAAACAACAACCCCCCCCAAAAAAGATTAGAAAAAAGAGTGGTACCACCAAAAATCCCCCAAAAAACAAGGTCCAGATCTCATCGGAGCGTCTTTCTTTCCCCTGGGCGACGTCTCACTGCACCGGGCGGCGCCCTCTGGGTGCAAACTCTGATCAGTTTCCTACATGGGTGATCTGCGGCGCCGGGACAAACTCTGACTGTGTTTTATCTATCTTCCTTTATTTTTTGACTCGTTTTTAACAGACAACCAGACGCTGCACAGACCTGTCAGTGTGCGTCTTCCTCACCGGTCAAACCGCGCGCACCAACGCACACGCCCCTTTTTATTAAAAAAATTTCTCCTCATCAAAATAACCCAGCATATTAATTCCCATCATTTTTTAACCAGTGGAGATTTGAAATAATATTACCAATGACATAGCTGTTCTACACTGTTATCAGTACACTTTAATGTACTTTATACAAAAAGAGAAAATAACATAGTGGTTATGTTACAAAGGTATCCAGATGTGCATCTCCTAAATTTTATACTTTAATCTTTAAAGAATTCTAGCAGTTTACAGCAGCAGTACAGATGTTTGAATTATAATGTGAGAAGATCTCTGGTTTTTTTAAAGATAAATTTAAGTAAATGTTTTTTTTTCTTTTTAAACTTGATCATATCACTGAATATGATATAATTGTTACAATCATTAATTTTTAATTTTGAAAGATAATAAGTAAAAGAAACACACATTTTCACAAAATGTACAACTTAACTGAATCACCACCATCTTTATTTAGATTCTTTCATAATTTAGTTTGAGGATCAGACCCGTATATCACCTCCAGCTCAGGGACTCATCCTCCCAAATCATTGCATCCGCAGCACAATTCCAGGTTTCTTTTTTTTTTAGATAAAACAAGCAATTCCTTTTTCTGATCAACTTAAAGAGTCTGTAGATGAGAAGCTCAGGGTCCAAACGTTGGTTTTAACTGAGAGGGTTTATTGCATCGTGTTCCCATCTCTCTCCACCAGGTAATGTGACGGCGCTGTGCTGGGACCCGGTTCAGCGGGTGCTGTTTTCCGGCAGCTCGGACCACTCCATCATCATGTGGGACATCGGAGGGAGGAAAGGCACCGCCATCGAACTGCAGGGACACAAGTAGGAAACCAATGAGCTTTGAGCTCATTGAGCTCAGGATTTAATTCGGTTTCACGGATATTAGCTCGTCATTAGCATACATTGAATGGGTTGTTTTTAAGCGTACGTGTGATCCGTCCTCAGTGACAAAGTCCAGGGCCTGTGCTATGCCTCACACACCCGCCAGCTCATCTCCTGCAGCTCAGACGGCAGCATCGTCATTTGGAACATGGACGTGACTCGACAAGAGGTAACGTGTAATCACTGAGATTGAAGTCGACTCAGCGCACAAAATCTATAATTTGTTCCAAAGAGTAGAGAAAATGCAAAGCTGTGCTGCAGAGAAGCAAATAAAGATTAGTTCAACCATCGGTGCTCTGGATCCATGACTTTCAGTCTCCATATGCTTGTTACACGCTATTAACTGGGACTTTTGCTTTTTATTTATTAGACCAACATTTTTTCCTAAATGTTTGCCCTAAACTCTCAGCACCGCTCTAAAACAACATCCTGTCCAGCAGGGAAGCACTGACTGTTGGAATAGAAAGTATTTCACTGCTACTGGATCAGGGAAAAGTAGAGGAGAGAAAAGCAATTAAACTAATGCAATATCTTTTTTCTAACTGAATCTAAATCTAGAGTAAATCATCAGAAGTTTCTGTTTTTTATCCATATTGAGGCCGAACTGGCACATTGTGTGTTTTAAAGGTTAAAGCAAAGTTCAGTGTTTTTGCTGATTTGTCTTGTTTATGAGAGTCACTTGACACAATTGGCTCAGCGTCGCTCTCATGTTTGCGGGATAAACACAGATCCACTGTGTGGTCAGACTCCTGCAATTATAGCATGAAGACCTAAAGCAAAGGAAAACAGACGCAGTGGCTGAGTGCAAAGTTTTTAAAAACAATAGTCACGTGAAAATTTGGGAGGCTGTGAGTGACCGAGCCGAAAAATCAGAGAAGCACAGGGAAGTCATTGATGAAAAAAATGGTAACAAATTTATTTTGCAAAAATAAAGTTCAAAAGTTCAAACAAGACTGGACCCATCAAGGAAAACAAATGACTTAAATCAAAAGACCTACCTAACTGAAACACAAGGGAAACATATATATATACACTGGTTGATCAGACCATTTAGAAACAAGAGGGAAACATACAATATATTTTCCTAAAGAAAACTGCAACTAAAGAGCAAACTAATCAGCACAATATTCAATCTGCAACCTATGAGGAAGAGGACTTAAATATTTACTTTCCAAATGTTATTATAGAAAACAAAACCAAATACAGAGACCCAAACCCTTTCTACACCCCTTCTAAAAGTAAGTGGAAGAGTCCAACTAGGCCTCCATGTCAATGAGGGGATCCTTTGCAGCTGGGGCCTCCTTTCCTTTACTGGCTTCACTCATGACAGCCTCCCAGGAACTGGCAACTCAAATGAAAAATATATTAATGTACAGAAACCAAACAAGCAAGAAATGACAAAATGAGTCAACTGAATGTGTGCACCCAAGTAGTTAACCAATGCTAAATCAAAGTAGAAAAACATGAAATGCTGTACAGTAAAATAGAAGATTTAATGAAAGAATTACCAGCCCATTTGTTGTGTGGTTGCACATGCAGCCATCACAGAGGCACATTAAAAAACAACCTAGAACCTAAGCTGAATTGTAGCTTTGGGGAGACAGGAGTTACTAGGGAGGGGTTTTCTCTGGATGGACGTCTCTGAAGAAATGTTTTGACAGTGATTTTTCCCAGACTTCCTGCTACTGAAGAGAAAAAAATTCTCAGCTGTGTTTTAACTCTCTCTACAACTGCAATGATAAACTACTGTAGAAAAGCCCTCTGAGAGAGCAGACCTCCGCCAAGCAGCAAACGTTGCCCCGGACTATGACTTCCACCTATAGCTAAAACTCACACATCATCTGGATCATTACTATATGTAAATTAATTGTTCCTTGGTATCAGGAGCACCTTTGGTTTGATCCATTCATACGTTTTCAGTTGATCCTGCTTAGAAAAAAAACAGTGTTCCCTTTACTTGTGTTTTTGTCTTCAGTAAAATACCTAAAGACCAGGGGTCTTCAACGTTTTCCAGGCCAAGGACCCCCAAACTGATGGCGAGATGGAGCAGGGCTCCCCTAATTATATATATTGTGTGAAATTGTGTTATATCAAACTGATCCTATAGTCACTCTATTACAGATGGAGTCATGTAACGAAAGTAATTTCTCCCTGGGATTATTAAAGTATTTCTAATTCTGATTCCTGATTGATGGGACAGGTGTTGTGAATGAAACGGTGCCCAGCTTGAAAGAGCTCCTGTGTGTTGCTGAATGTGTGCATTGATGACTGAAAGACATCTTCTGCCTCCGTTTATCTGTTTATTACAGTGTGTTGATTTCATGTTAATGTTTATTTAAAGACATTTCAATTAGTGGGAAAAAAAACTGCAGGGGAGAATATAAAAAAGGTCTAATCAACCAAAACTTTTGCGACCCCCATGCAGTACCTCCAGCGGTCTCCCTGTTGAAGACCTCCATTATAGACTTTTTGAGTCCGATGCTCAATAGTCACTACTGCCTCTGCTTTAGAGGGGAACTGCTCGTTCCGCGAAATATCCCTATCTCACAATGTTGAAGACTATTAAAAAAAAAATCCCTGTATCCAGATTCTGATCTGGATTATCACCAAAATCTAAGGGATTGTTCGTCTGTTCAAAGCAGCTCTATGCGGAAGCAATTCTTCAAGCACATATTGCAGCAACAACTATGAAAGTTCATTTTATGTTAGTTTATTTATGCATGCATTATTATTGTTATCTAAAATTGTTTACACTAAAATGGAAATGAACTAAATAGAGGAGGATGGAAATAAAGTTTCGTCTGTTGTCAGATTTGGCTTAATCTGATTTGCCTTATACGTTTTTATGGCAAAAAAATTCTATTATTTACTCTGGAAAACAGATAAATCTTAGTAAAATGTTGAAATAGAATTAAATAAATTATTTCTTAGCAATAAGCCATGGTTACAAAGTTGAAAAATGTCCAAT